CTGTCCAGCCTCCAGCAGGTGGGGGCGGGGCGAGGGGGCGGAGAGAATTCCAGGGGCGGGGCTTTATGGGGGTGTGTTCTGGGGCGGGGCTTTATGGGGGCAGGGACCACGCTTGTTCTGGGCCAGATGGGGCCGCAAGGGGTGAAGAGCGAGTGAGCGCAAGGTTTACTTTTGAGGGGACTGGATTAGGCCAGGACCAGGACTCCTGTGACCAGCAGGCCCATGTAAATGGCTTTCACCGCACCCTGTTCAGAGGCCCCTGGATCAGTTCGTGCTGCAGTCGCAAGCTTGGTTCAATGTCTCCTCCCTTCCCTACGCTGTGCCCGCCCTCAGCCTGCCCAGTGGGGAAGCTCTGGTGAGTACAGGCCTGCGGACCCACTGTCTTCCCAAGCATCCATGCCCCACAGGATAGGGGCGGGGCATCCCCGGGTCTGAGGGGTGGCACAGGTGGGTGGCTTGGTTGGGGGTCCTCAGCCCACAAGTCTGAGTCTTTGGGAGAGGCAGGTGTCAAGGTGACTGAGAAAACATGTGGGTTTGCCCTCAGGTGCAGACGCAGCTGCTTCGCGCCTTGGAGCGGGACATTCCCATCTGGTGGGTGCTGGTAGGGGTGCTTGGCGGCCTGGTGTTGCTCACGCTCCTGGTCCTGGCCATGTGGAAGGTGAGACATGAAGGGACTTTGGGGTCCCTGGGTGGGCACAAGCTTGACCCTGCCCGACCTCACAGGGAGGCAGAGAGATAGTGACCCAGGGTCTGTCGGCATCTCCACTAGTAAGTGCCATTCTCCAGAGAACCTCTCCCAGGCCACAGACCCCTGGGAGAGGGGCACCTAAAATCCCTAAGGCCTTGTAGCCAGTTTCCCGCTGAGAGGAAGAGTCCCAGGAAGGGAGCCCTGCCTTCAGGAATTCCCTGGCTGCTGAGGAGGACAGGGATCACCTCCGGACTCCTTCCCTGAGTCTGATGCAGACCCTCTGGGGAGGCCCTGCGGGGTCACTCCCTCCTCTGTGCCAGGAGGGCTGTTCTCAAACTCGCTTAAGTGCTCAAGCCCTGGGAAGTCGTGGTGCTTTTAGGGAAAATCATGCATCATCAAATACATGTCACTGTGAGCTTGAGTCGCATAGAGACCTAACGGCCAATATTTAAGAAAATTTCAGGGGAAGGGCGCCTGGGTGGCTCAGTTGGTTAAGCGTCTGCCTTCAGCTCAGGTCATGATCTTGGGGTTCTAGGACTGACCCCTGCATGGGGCTCCCTGTTCAGCAGGGAGTCTGCTTCTCCCTCTCCCTCTGCCCTTCCTCCCTGCTCATGCTTTCTCTCTCCCTCTCTCTCAAATAAGTAATCTTTTTTAAAAAATTCAGGGGGAAAAAAATTAAAAACAAGTAACTTGTGACATGTGTTATCTCTGAATGGGGAAGGCCTCCATTTGTGCACGCAGGGGGATCTAAGTGTGCTGGTCTGGGGAGAGGACGTTGTGACTGGCTGCTTTCTAGCCTGCTTCTTCAACTGCTGCTCGGGGGCCCACTGATGATCTTTATATCCTGTCCCCGGCCCCTGTGCACCCCCAGGTTGGCTTCTTCAAGCGCAACCGGCCACCACTAGAAGAAGATGAGGAGGATGAGTGAGGGGCTGGCCCATGCCCTGTCCTATGAGGAAGGCTGGGAGCTGTGTCTGCTCTGCCCCTCCTTCAAGGTGCTCCCCCCAGCTCTGCTCACCCGTGGCTGGGAGCTGTCCCATGGAGGCCTCCTGGTATTCTCCCCCTCTGGTGAGAGCGGGCCACTCCTTTCCCTGCTGCCAAATAAAGAGCTCCAATCCCCAGCATGCTGTCTCCTCTTGGGTCAGTGAAGAGAAGGGGACCAGGGACAGGTGATGCTTGGAGAGAGGGGTTGGGGCTGGCAGAAGTGTGAGCAGAGAGTTGCCCATTACAGACAAAAGTTGTCCATTACTGTCTTTGGGAGTTTCTGGGAGCAAAGAGTGGGGGCAAAACAGAGGAGAAAGGGTGGCAGAGCCTCCAAGAGAGATTGGACGGGGATGGGGTGTCTGAGGGTAGCTGGGTGCAAATGGAAGCTGGGAGCATCAGAGAAGTCAGGCTGGTCCTGCCCAGGACAGCTTTATTTATTTATTTATTTGTTTGTTTGTTTGTTTTTCTGGTGGACAGCTTTAAACAGTATTTTTTTTTCTTTCATGATTTTGGAGAGAGAATTCTCAAGTGGACCTGGGATTTGGGAACATAACCTGCACTCCCCACTCCCATTAAAAAAACAAACAAAACGCCTTTAAAGCCAGCTTCAGAGTGAGGAGGGGGCAGAGGGAAGCTGACTAAGCCCTCAGCCTGAAGAAGGGAGAGGAGAAAAGGCTTTGCTGTCCAGGGAGAGAAGCGCACCAGGGAGAGGAGAGCAGGCTCTGCTGTCCAGCTACCCTTCCTCCCCATCAAGGAGAAGCTGTTCAGTTAGGAAAGAGGGCCCCAGGCAGGGGTGCTAGGAGCAGAATACAACTCTCCCTCCTCTGCCCGCCAAGACTGGAGTCCCAGGATAGACGGGAAGGGGGGGTCCACCTGAGAAATGTGTTGATTGATGGGTTCAGTAGGTATTGATTGAGCCCCTCCCATGTGCCTGGGACTCTCCCAGCGCTGTGATGGAACAGTGAAGAGAGCCAAGTTCTGGCCCCTTGTGAGACTTACATTCAACCAGGGGTAAAGAATAAACGAGAATGTAAATGTGGGGTCAGTGGTGGTCAGTACTGGGAGTAAGAACCAAGGGAAGGAGATTCTGGTGGAACTACGTGGGAGAAGGCTGCCATTTTAGGTAGAGCGGTCAGGGAAGGCCTCTCTGATGAGGGGAACAGAGAGAGGGATGAATGAACCTCGTGGCTGCTCAGGAATAAGAGCGTGATCTGGATGGAAAGAGCAACAGCTGAGAAGGCGCTGAGGTGGGAGCAGGCTTGAGGTGTTGAAGTGAAAGCAAGGAGACCCATGGACCAGAGGCCAGCACGGTCCAGATGAGGTCAGGGGTGGGGGCAGGAGGGCAGCACCTTTTGGTCATGGGTAGGACTTGGGACTAGATGCCAGGTGTTGGGGGAGGCCACTGAGGAACAGACTTACCTCACAAGCGCAGCTGGTATTTGATTTTACCCAAAGGGATAAAACGTAAATTTTGCAAAGAAAACAATTTGACATCCATGCATGGCAAGTTCCAGAACAGGTTTTTAGTTGGGTGACTTTTCCTAGGAAAAGATTAAGCTGCTGTGATCCTTACACACCAGCCAGACTCCCTCTCCACCCGACCATCACGACTGGATAGCACCAGACAGTCGATCTTGATCCAGCAAAGCATTTGGCATTTGCCCTTATAGACAAGACAGAAACATGAGCTGGATTTAAAACTGAACAATTTTGATAAAGCTGAAGGAGATCCCTATGAGGTTGTTCCAAAGCTCTATCCCAGCCCTGAGCTGCCTAGCACTGTCCTGAGTCCCCTCCATGGAGGCAGGGAAGCCGCTCTCCCACCCCACAGACGGCTGCTGGCTGTGAGGGAACTCCAACACAATGGGTGACTGTGGCCGATTCAAGGCAGCCTGGACAGATTGTGAAGTTGGGTTGAAACCAACAAGATGAAATTCACCAGGGAGGAGTGCTAAATCCTGTGCTGAGATTGTGAAAATTTGGTTACATAAGAAGAGGGCTGGGAAATCTGGTTAGATGGAAATTTATGAGAAAGAAAGAGAGAAAGAGGGAGGGAAGGGGAGAGGGAAAGACAAGAAAGAGAGGGAGGGAGGAGGGAAGGAAAGTAGAAAGGAAGGGAGGGAAGGAGGGAAGGAAAAAGGGAGAGGAAGAGAAAAAGAATCTGGTATCACAAACTTACAACAAGGTCCCCTTAAGTCAGAAGAGCCAAACCAGGGGACCCAACCAAGAGAGGAGCCTGCTGTCTTCTGGGGGACAAGGTCCTTGCTCTAGGTATCCAGTCCCCTTTGGGGCACCGCATCGTGAGAAGCAGGTGAAAGCCAGGGAAAAGCAAGAGCGTAATATCAAATTAGATGAGGATTTGGCAGCCCAGAAGCTGAATGAGGATGACAACCAGAAACTGGAAAGAAAGTGAGCTTGGCTGGGCCTAGGTCAGGCTGCAAATGTGGGGTTCAGTGGCGGAGGAAGAAGGAAAAGACTGTCGCTCATGAACCAGAACCAGTGGGACCGACGGGTGATTCTTGGGGAAAGGAAAAGGCCGCTTGCATCTCTAGAAGAAATTCCCAAACATTATGACCGTCCAACAATGATCTCATTACCTGAGCAGAGGTGAGCCTCCATGTCAACCTGGGCGGACAGGAACACCATTGATTGCGCCCCTGCTCCTGTCAGGCATATGGTACATCCTTTATATCATCATCATATTTAACCGTTGTTACAACAGCCCCACGAGGTAGAGATTATTACAATTCTCACGTGAAAGGAAGGCCGAGGACCAGAAGGCGAAGTAACTTGCTCACGGCTCAAGAGGCAGAAGCTAGTCTGGGACTGAGCGATTCCCACTGCGTAGGTGTTTGTGCGGATAGAACAGGGCAGTTCCTACACTTTTTGGAGACGCTCCTGACCGTACTACTTCTTTGAGTGTGTTGTAAGCAGTAGCCTCTCCTCCCTCCCAAATTTTCCACCAAATTTCGAGGGCTCCGGACCTCCAAGAACCCGGGTGACTAGTCCAGGTCCGTCGCACTCCCTTGGAGCTCCGGTCTGGGCGCGCGGGGTGGGGTCTGCAGGGTGGGCGGAGGGCGGGCAGGGCCCGCGCGCGGTGCGCGGAGCAGGGCGGTGAGGGGGCGGCGCCCGGAGGTCCGCGGGGTGGGACGCCGCCTGCAGGGGGCGCTGGCGGCGGCTCCGGGCGGAGACAATCGCGCCGAGCTGCCGCCGCAGCCAGAGCGGGAGCCGGAGCGGCGCGGCGCGGCGCAGAGCTGGGGCTGAGCGGGGCCGGCCGAGCGGGGCCGGGCGGGAGCCATGGGCCGCTAGGGCCCGGCCGAGCCCCGCGATGCCGCCGCCGAGTGGCCCCAGCGTCCTCACGCGGCTGCTGCCGCTGCTGGGGCTGCTGCTCGGCGGCGCCTCCCGGGCTCCCGGCAAGTCGCCGCCGGAGCCCCCCAGCCCGCAGGGTGAGTCTCGGCCAGGAGGGGCAGCGATCGCGGGCCTGCGCCCCCTCGATCGGGCCCCCGCCCGCCAGCCCCCTCTTCGCGGCGCTCGTAAATTGGGGGTACTCTGTTCCCTGGGTTTGGGTGGGGGGAGCCCGGCGACTTCGGGTCGGCGCTTACGGGGGAGAGGAGGGAGGGAGAGGGCGATTGCCGGGGCGGGGGTCTTGGGGAGACACAATGGGGAGAGCGGGGGTCCCCGGGCTCCGCGCCGCCGCCCCCTCTCGCCTTGTTTTTCTCTCTTCGGGTCCGCGAGGCGCTGCTGCCTGAGCCATTGTCTACCGAAGACACCCGCCCAGGGGCGGGCTGGGGCGGGCGTCCGCTCCGCAGCCCCCTGCGGGTTCCTCGCTCCCGACCCGGCCTGGGTGGGGGCGCCAGCACCGGCTGCCACCTTGGACCCGGACGGGGGCTGGGCGCCTTGAGCTGGGCTGGAAGGGGGGAGGGGGAGGGGGTGAGGCGGTGGGCGGATTGACTGCTCGAATGGGGTTCTTCGCCCTGGAGCTTGACAGCCCCCGGCCGGCCCCCCGGGTTCAGAATTGGGGGTGTACCGAAGAAACGCTGCCGGCCCTTGAGGGGGTAGGGGCTGCAGTTTGGGGGTTTCTGGAAAAAGGGGTACGTGGTGATTCCCAGCCAAAGCGCATGGCAGGGCTGTGGTGGCGGAGCCATGCTGAGCTGGCTAGCTGGCTGTGGGCTGTGCCCGCTGGGAGGGCAGGTGCCTGGGTCCCCGTCCAGCAGACCTCCGGCCGCTCCTATCCCCAGCCCATCCCCGGTCACCCCCTCCTCATCTAACCTTTCGGTAGCCGTGAAGCAGAGCCTCCCGGCGCCTCACGGGCCCAGGTGGGTGTGTGAGGTGGGGGCGGGGGAGGCTCTTGCAGCGGGAGAGGGTGGGAGAGCTAGACTCTGACTCCTGGGTTCTCGCGGGGGGCCTCCGCCCACTCCAGCCCTGCGCCCACCACCCCAGCTACCGTTCCCTCTGTCGCCTCTGGGCCCCATCCCTGCCTGAAACCGTGCTCTCCACTCCTCTCCACCAAGGAGCTGACAGGAAAACCAGGGTGGGGGGGTGTCTGGTTGAGGGAAGTGGGGTCCGGATGAAGGGAGGGGATCGGATTTCCTCTTGGAATGAGGCAGAGCTGAAGCCTGGAGAGGCGGATACAGTATGGAATGTCAGGCTTGAGAAATGGGGAAGGCTCACCTCAGGCCTCAGTCTTCCCTGCTCTCTGCAGGAGGAGAGGAGGCTTTGATGGGTAGAAAAGGGCCCTGGTTTCTCAGAAAGCTTTTCCTTCAAGTCCTGTTCTCCAGGGGAGGGGGTCCAGAGAATTAGCTGAAATGGAGCCAGGAGACAGGGCTCTCCCAGGCCCCTGGCTGAGAGCCCAGGTCGAGGGGAAGGGGAAAAGAATCTGCTGGGCACCTGCCTACCCCTTCCCACTGACATGTCCTTCGTGCCTACCCGCCCACCCCGTGTTGTTCCTTAGGCCCCCTCCCCTCTTTTGAGGCTCTGGCCCTTGAACCCCAAGCATTCCTTCAAATGACCATATTCCAGACTCCTGGGTCCCCTCTTTCCAGCTGCTCCATCCAGCTGCTCCTCGCCGGGGTAGGGGTGGGGAGTAGCCAGGCCTCTCTAGCTTCTCAGAATTCCTCCTGGGTAGTGGGGGAGGAGGGGCAGGAAGATTGCCAGCTCCTGGGAAAACCAGAGAGTAGGAAAGATTCAAGTGTGTGCACCCACCCTGCCAAGTTGGGCTTTGGCCTGGGAGGGGTGAGGGAGGTGGGTTCAGGCGAACAGCTGGATGGGATGCCAGGGCCAGGCGTGGCGCTGGCCTCGGGGCTGGAAGCTTGAGATGAGACACCTGTCTCCATTGAGTGTCAGGCTCCACGCATGAGGGCCCCCGCCCCACGCTGTGACCACCCCGTGCCCTGCTGCCCCAGGCTCTTCTTTCTGTACCTGGACTCTCCCAGGTTTGTGTCCCCACCTGCCTCCAGGCCCTGCACTGAGGCCTCTGTACCTTTCTAGGCATGGACACCTACTCCCATCATTAGCAGCAAGGTAGGGGTGAGCCAGGTTCTTGAGGGTGGGGCCATGCTGAGTGGGAAGAAGTAGATGGTGCTGTGGATCAGAGAGGCTGTCTGGGGAAACCCATGAGAACAACTCTAGGCCTGGTCCCTAGCTGGTCACCCCATCTGAGCTCAGGACACCTGCACGCCGATCCTGGCCAAGCTCTCCTGGGGCTGGGAGCAGAGACAGCTGGACTTCCCTTCCTAGGCCTCTCCACACCAGTTTCCCTTGGGCCTGGGTCGGCCCCCCCAGATCTCCTTCCCCTTGCCAGGGCCCCAGCTCTCTGCCCATCTCCTGGGAGGAATGAGGGCGTTGCCATGGTGACTGACTTGTAGCTGACCAGCTGGGAGGGGGCAGGCAGTCCCTGTTAGGGGGAGGGGTCAGGAGGTACTTGTTCGGGTTTAGGGGTTGGGGCGAGTCCCTAAATCTGAAAGGAAACAGGCTTGTGCAAAGGATTCTGGGAAGAGGATGAATAAGGGGAAAGACCAGCTCCCTAGTGTCCCCTTCTCAGCTTTTTCTTCAGAACCAAAACTCTGACCCAGCCCCCCTTGCAACCCTTCTCATTGGCTGAATTCTGACCTCTCTCCTCTCCATCCGTAGACCCTTGGTCCTCCGCTTATTCCACCTTTCTCAGCCCTCTTCCCTCTCCCCTCCCTGACACCAGCCCCATGGGGTCCAGTGGTTAAGAATTTGGGTCTAGGGGCACCTGGGTGGCTCAGTCGTTTGGGCATTTGCCTTCGGCTCAGGTCATGATCCTGGGGTCCTGGGATCGAGCCCTGCATCGGGCTCCCTGCTCGGTGGGGAGGCTGCTTCCCCCTCTCTCTCTGCCTGTGGTTTCCACTGCTTATGCAAGCTCTCTCTCTCTCTGCCAAATAAATAAAATCTTAAAAAAATAATAATAATTTGGGTCTAGAGGCAGACTCCCAGGTCTGGATCCCAGCTCCTCCCCCACCCCGCCAGCGGCAGTGCGAGTATCTAAACTCTGAGCCTCAGTTGCTTTATTTGCAAAATGGGCTTCAGAACATATTTTATGGGGTCTAATGCATCATTGACTGTAAGACGCACAATTATTTCATGTGCCAGGAAGAAAAGAAAAAAAAAAATACTGCCAATCCTGATGATGATATCCTCAGTGAGAAGCATATTCTGAGTTCAGAAATGTAAAAATGTGGGAAAGTGCGTGAGTGAGACTTGAAATATGGTAGTAGCACCACCTGTCTCATAGGCTGATGTGGGGTTTAAAAGAGGGCGCTAGCAATGCTGACTCTTCCAGAGCCTTGTCTAGCCTGGGCCCCAAAGCCGCTCCCAACCCACAGCGTCCTCCTCCTCCGATCTCGGGGACCCCCCCAGTTCTCTTCCCCACCCCCCCCCCCCTCCCTCCTCACTCTCCTCACCCCATCTTGTCCACAGAGATCCTGATCAAGGTGCAGGTATATGTGAGCGGGGAGCTGGTGCCCTTGGCCCGGGCCTCCGTGGATGTGTTTGGGAACCGGATGCTGCTGGCCGCTGGCACCACGGACTCAGAGGGCGTGGCCATACTGCCCCTCAGTTACCGCTTGGGCACCTGGGTGCTGGTCACTGCTGCCCGCCCTGGCTTCCTCACCAACTCTGTGCCCTGGCGTGTTGACAAGCTGCCCTGTGAGTGCAGGGGCAGGCGGAGGAGGGCGGGTGGCAGCTGACCCCATCAGCCCCTTCCCAGAATAGTCCTTGGGGGTGGAGGGGGCAGGCTCTCCAGCAGCTGCTGCCCAGGCTGGGGTACGCAGAGGGGGCTGAAGGAGGATGAAGTCACTGGGATTCAGATGGAGGGAGTGCCCGGCCCTGGGGTTGGGGGGGAGGTGGGAGGGCTTTTTCTGGAGCTGATGGGCCACCCCTCCCACAGTGTATGCCTCAGTCAGCCTCTACCTGCTCCCGGAGCGGCCGGCCACCCTCATCCTGTATGAGGACCTGGTGCACATCCTTTTGGGCTCTCCTGGTAAGGCTCCTCTTTAACCCCCCAACTCATACCCGCTCCTCTTCCTTCCCTCTGACCTGGGTACAGAGAGCTCCACTCTTCTACGTATGAGTGCCGGGTGCCCTTGAGCAAGTCACCTAACCTCTCTGAGCCTTAGTTTGTTCATCTGTAAGATACGGATATTATCTATAATATCATCAATGGGAGCTATATCATCAAATTGAAGTAAGGATTAAATATCAAGTATGAAAAAACAGCACGGAAGATGGTCAATAAATGTTTTTGTTATTGGGGCTTCTCGTGGTTTCTATTCTCCCTCTACTCCTACCATTAGCATTCCTGTTCCCTGCCACCTGTTTCATCAGTGGATCTACACATACTACTTGTGCACCTAACTGGGTGCCTGGCAATGTTAGAAGGCCATGGGAGGGTCATTCCATAGGAACTGAGCAATTCTCAAGTGCAAGGCCTGGACCAACACCACAGTATCTGCTCACGGCTTCAGTCTCATCAAACCAATCCTTAACCGTGCCAGGCATTGTGTCTGGTGCTGGGGAACAGTGGGAAGGAAGAACAGACCCACTCCCTGTCTTGTGGAGTTCACAGACAAGTAGGAAGACAGACAAACACATTGCTACCAACCCTGAACTAATTACAAGGCAGGTGGAACAGTGGAGTAGAGGGCAGCGGGCTTCAGCACTGAGACAAGCCTGACCAGTGAGTGTAGCAGGGCAAGAGAATTTGAGGAAGGGAGCTATGGGACCTTGTGGGCTCAAGAATTAAAGGGGGGCACAGACACCTGCACTGGAGAGGAATCAAGATGCAGGGGGAGAAGGGGACAGCCAGGGTGCAGGGGGGCGCCTGACTGGCTCTGCAGGAGGGGTGCCTGGTGCAGACTGGTTGATCTGGCTAGTACTAGGGAGTCATGGTGGGATTGGGAGAGAGAAAACCTGCCTCCCCAATTTATATTCTTAGCTTGAGCCCTTGTCTCTAAGGTGCTCGTTTGCCTGTCTTCATCTCCCTGGTCCTGAACCAGAGGCTTCTAAACTGTCTTTGGAGTTTTCTACAATGCCAAGTGAGGGGTGCAGGGCCGGCTCAGTCAGTAGAGTGTGCAACTCTTGATCTTGTGAGCTCAAGTCCCACTTTGGGGCACGGAGCCTACTTTCAAAAGTAATAGTAAATAAGTAATAAAATAAAAGGCCAAATGATCCTTTTGTGGCCCCTGGCTTACGACCATCCCATGGCTCCCAGAGTAAAGCCTCGAGTCCTTCACAAAGCTGACCACACCCTGTGGGATCTGCCACTCAGTCACCCGTGTCCGTGGACCGGCCCGCTGCCCCGTACCTTTGGGCCTTTCTCTCTTCTGTTCTCTTGGAGGTCCCTTTGCACCTTCCTTCCTGCAGGAGTCTTACTCATCCTCATCCTGCCAAGACTCCATTGGGGGTGCCTGGGTGGCTCAGTGGGTTAAAGCCTCTGCCTTTGGCTTAGGTCATGATCCCAGGGTCTTGGGACCGAGCCCAGCGTCTTGGGATCGAGCCCAGGGCTCTCTGCTCGGTGGGGAGCCTGCTTCCCTTCCTCTCTCTGACAGCCTCTCTGCCTCCTTGTGATCTCTCACTCTGTCAAATAAATAAATAATCTTAAAAAAAAAAAAAAAAAGACTCCATTGGGCCTTCCCCAGCTGGGTGGGCCAAGCACACCTGGCGTCCCACCATTTTAATAACAAGTTAGGATGGAAAGGCGCTGAGAAGATGGGCCAGCACCACACTTCCTGGGTTTCGGTCAGGCTCCAGGACTGTGACCTTGGGCAAGTCACTCAACTCTGGCCTCCATTTCTTCGTGTATACAACAAGGTCAATAATGAAAGCACCTACTTCAGGGCCTTTGTACTAATTACAGGGGTTAACACAGGAAGACTTAGATGGCGTCCAGCGTATCTTAAAGCTTAATACATGTTAGCTACGACCATATTGTATTAGAATTCTGTTTATACGCCCCCTCCACCCCAAGACAGACAGACACACACAGACACACACACAAAACCTAAGCTGTGTAATACAGTAGCCACTAGCAACATGTGGGTATTTAAATAAATTAAAAGTTACATTAATTTTTTTAAAGATTTTATTTATTTGACAGAGCGAGAAAGAGACGAGCAGGAGGAGTGAGGGAGGGAGAAGCAGGTTCCCTGCTGAACAAGGAATCTGACATGGGGCTTGATCCCAGGACCCTGGGATCATGACCTGAGCCGAAGGCAGACGCTTAATGACTGAGCCACCCAGGCGCCCCCAAATTCATTAAATTTTGAAAAATTAAAAATAAATCCAGTGTCTGAGTCACACTAGCCACCTTTCAAGTGCTTAATAGCCATGAGTGTCTAGTGGGTAATGGGCAGCACAGAGAGAGAACATTTCCATGCAACACAGCAGAAAGTTCTGATGGGTACCAGAAGGGACAGCCCTGCACAAGACTGTGAACTTGAAGGCAGGGAACTGAGGACTACGTCTTAATTCATCTTTGTATCTCCAGCACCTAACACAGTGCCCGCCACACAGCTGGCAACATTGTTTGAGGACCCGACCTCATCATTTTATAGATTACTGAGGAAATGGTGTTTCAGAGAGAGCAAGTAACTTGCTCAGGGTCACACAGCCAGGACTAGATTTCAGGTCCAAGTCCTTTTTCCATGTTAACATTCTCTGAATGCAGTTCTCTCCCCGAGTCACCAAGCTCCCTGACCTTCCCAAGTGGCCTGACCCAGTGACCCCCTTCTCCTCAAATACTTGCTTTCTGCTCTGGTCCCTGGGCAAGCCACAGCAGCCCCCTTCTCCGTCCAGGTGCCCGCTCCCAGCCCTGGGTGCAGTTCCAGCGCCGGGCTGCCCGCCTGCCTGTCAGCTCCACCTACAGCCAGCTCTGGGCCTCCCTCACACCTGCCAGCACCCAGCAGGAAATGCGCGCTTTCCCTACCTTCCTGGGCACTGAGGCCTCCAGTTCAGGTAGGCTGGGTGTCCAGCACGGAAGGGACGTTTCCCCCCGTCCCCCTCCCAGGATTTAGCCCTCAGCCCCTGTGTCTCCTTTCCCCCAGGCAATGGTTCCTGGCTAGAGCTGATGCCACTGGCTGCTGTGAGCGTGCATCTGCTGACGGGCAATGGAACAGAAGTGCCGCTCTCGGGCCCCATTCACCTGTCCCTGCCTGTGCCCTCCGAGTCTCGCGCCCTGACTGCAGGCACCAGCATTCCAGCCTGGAGGTTTGACCCCAAGAGTGGTGAGTGCTTCAAGGGGCTGCGCTGCTGGAGTTTGGGGAAAGCAAGTGGGACTTAGATGGGGGGGGGGGACATTGGGTTTCATGAAACTCCTGCCTCTTTCAGGGCTGTGGGTACGCAATGGCACTGGTGTGATCCGGAAGGAAGGCCGACAGCTCTACTGGACCTTCGTCTCCCCCCAGCTGGGGTACTGGGCAGCTGCCATGGCTTCTCCCACCGCTGGTGAGAGATTAGGGGGATGGCTGGGACCAGGAGCCGTGGGGGAAAGGGAGGCTGGGAGTGTAGACTCCTGAAGGAAGGGCAACCACACCCAGAGAGCTAACCCCTTGCCTGGCACAGGACTGGTCACCATCACATCGGGCATCCAGGACATTGGCACCTACCACACCATTTTCCTGCTCACCATCCTGGCAGCCCTGGCTCTGCTGGTGCTCATTCTGCTGTGTCTGCTCATCTACTACTGCCGGTGAGTGCCTCACCCCTGCGTGTCGTTCCCCCCCCCCTCCCCCCCCCGCGCCTGCCCCCCCCCTGCCGGCTCGTCCCCCCCCCCTCCCCGCCCAGCCTCTGCTCATCCCCTGCATGCTGAGGCCTACCCTCAGCCTGGGGTGGGGCTGGGTGCTAGGCCCAAAGAGGCATAAAGTACAATTCCAGTCTTCAAGGCACTGACAAGGCACCCGAGAGACTGGGGGCTGAAGTAGGGGGAGAGGAGGCAGGACCTACCGGCCAGGCCCCTCCAGGGGACCCCTGGCTGGACATGCTCCTCCCAGGCTCTCACAGCACCCCCTGCATATGAAGGAGTGCAGCTCCCTTCAGGGGGGCTGGCCCTCCCACAGACACTCAAGGTTCTTTCCACAAACCTCTCCCAAGCCCTATCCAGCTGCCCCAACATTTCTCCCCGGGTCCCAGCCATTCTTCTCATCCCTCCAACACTGTCCATCCCTCATCTTGCCACTGCGGAGTTAGGGAGCTGCTCAGGCCTCCCTACCCTTTCCTGAGGTCCTGGGTCACTCCCTCCACCCCAAATACCTTCCAGGAGGCGCTGCCTGAAGCCAAGGCAACAGCACCGCAAGCTGCAGCTGTCCGGGCCCTCTGACGGTAACAAACGAGACCAGGCCACCTCGATGTCCCAGCTCCACCTCATATGTGGGGGACCCCTGGAGCCCACCCCGTCGGGGGACCCTGAGGCCCCGCCCCCAGGCCCCCTGCACTCAGCCTTCTCCAGCTCCCGAGACTTGGCCGCCTCCCGGGACGACTTCTTCCGCGCCAAGCCGCGCTCTGCCAGCCGTCCGGGAGCCGAGCCTGGGGGCTCCCGCGGGGGCGAGGGCGCGGGGCTCAAGGGCGCCCGCTCCGTCGAGGGTCCCGGCGGGTTGGAGCCAGGCCTGGAGGAGTACCGGAGGGGAGCCTCGGCGACCCCGGCCTTCCTGCAGGAGCCGCCCTCGCCGCCGCCGCCCTTCGAGCACTACCTGGGCCACAAGGGGGCGGCCGAGAGCAAGCCCCCCGACTTCCTGCTGTCGCAGTCGGTGGACCAGCTGGCGCGGCCGCCGTCGCTCAGCCAGGCCGGGCAGCTCATCTTCTGCGGCTCCATCGACCATCTCAAGGACAGTGTTTACCGCAACGTCATGCCCACCCTGGTGATCCCCGCGCACTACGTGCGCCTGGGCGGCGAGGCGGGCGCTGCGGGGGCGGGCGACGAGCCAGCCCCGCCGGAGGGCACGGGCTCCGGCCCCGCGCGCCCTTTCCCCCCGGCCGACCCCCAGCGCCCGCTGCTGCAGGGCCACTCGGGCGCGGGCGGCGAGGGCGGCGGCAGTGGTGGTGGCAGCGGCGGCGGTGGCGGCGGCGGCGGCGAGGGCTGGGGGGGCGGGCGCTCGGCGCCGGTCAGCGGCTCGGTCACCATCCCGGTGCTGTTCAACGAGTCCACCATGGCGCAGCTCAACGGGGAGCTGCAGGCGCTGACCGAGAAGAAGCTGCTCGAACTGGGCGTGAAGCCTCACCCGCGCGCCTGGTTCGTGTCCCTGGACGGGCGCTCCAACTCGCAGGTGCGCCACTCCTACATCGACCTGCAAGCGGGCGGGGGCGGCCGCAGCACCGACGCTAGCCTGGACTCCGGCGTCGACGTGCACGAGGCGCGGCCCGCGCGCCGGCGACCCCTGCGCGAGGAGCGGGAGCGCGCGCCCCCGGTCGCCCCGCCCCCGCCGCCCGCGCCCCCGCGCCTGGCGCTCAGCGAGGACACGGAGCCGAGCAGCAGCGAGAGCCGCACGGGCCTCTGCTCGCCCGAGGACAACTCGCTGACGCCGCTGCTGGACGAAGTGGCGGCGCCCGAGGGCCGGGCGGCCACGGTACCCCGGGGTCGGGGCCGCAGCCGCGGGGACAGTTCCCGCAGCAGCGCGAGCGAGCTGCGGCGCGACTCGCTCACCAGCCCGGAGGACGAGCTGGGGGCGGAGGTGGGCGACGAGGCGGGCGACAAGAAGAGCCCGTGGCAGCGGCGGGAGGAGCGGCCGCTCATGGTGTTCAACGTCAAGTAGCGCCCCCGCCTGGCCTGGCACGGCCTCCCCCACGTCGGCCCCCACCCCCTCCGCCCGGGCCCGCCCCCAAGGTACGCGCCCAGGGGAGCGGCGGGGGCCCTCGCTCTTAGCCCCCCAGACCACCCCTCCCCCCCGCCTGGAGAGGGGCCCAGGGGGCTGCGGAGCTGTCCAGTGGTATGTGCTGGGTAATGTCTCGGGAGGGACCCAGTTGGCCTCCGAGAGGGAGGTGGGAGGGGTCCAGACCCCCATTGGGAGTTGCTGGGGAAGGAGGGCTGGGGGTGGGGAAGCAGTGCCTGTATAAACGTGGCTGTACATAGAAAGATCTATTGTGGGAAAGCAGGAGGGGCGACCGGGCCTCAGCTGCTCGTGTGAGGGCTGGGAAGGGGCCTTCTCTGGGGACCCTCCGGGAGGGGAGGGGGTGCTGCCTGCTGACTAGCCCGCCTTTGGGCTAGGATGTCACAGGGCTGGTGGCTGGGGCGGCTCTGGGGATTAGGGGATGTGATGGGATTGCTGTGGGTAACAGCAAATATAAAACTGGTGAGATGAACTGCGTGTGTATCTTTCTGTGGAGTTGGGGGCCCTTGCTCAGAGTGGGGCGGGCAGGGTGGTCAAATCAGACACTGTTAAGAAAGTGTACAAACTTTACTGCAGCACATACACACACGCACGCCTGTGGATAGAGCACCTGGCCACAGGGTCCACGGAAATCGGGGGAGGGGATGGCAGCTTGTTACACGGCTTTCGCCATAGCCCCCCTTGAGATAGGGAAGGCCTTAGATTGAGACCCTGCCTCCCATGGTGGGAGTGGGGCATCAGAATGGGGGACTCCAGGAGAATTTGGTGGGGGAGAGGTGCTGGGGAGGCCTGAGCAGTGGGAACCCTCTGAGCAGGGTCCCGAGGGCTGCAAACTGTCTTCAGTCCTTAGTGTCGCCTCACAGCAGCTGTCTCGGGGCTGGGTCCCTCAGTGGCATGTCCCAGCGCAGGCTCTCCCTCCGCAGACACTTGGTGCCCTTGGCCCCACAACGGAAGCCCACCGGGCAACAGTGACGCTGATCTGCACAGCAGACACCCTGACAGCCCAGGGGAGGGCAGGGAGTCAGAGTCGGGTATGGTGGGACCTGGCTCCCATGGACGACTCTGGCTTCCACAGATAGCCAGTCCCCGGCCGGGGTGGGGGGGTGGGGGGTGGCACTCACCTGGCGATAGGGACAGCAGGCCCAGCCCCCTCGGCTGTCTCGACAGCAGGTCTGGTTATCGTGGCAAAAGTGCCCTGCCCCACACTCCACGTTTCCCACAGCCACGCGAGAGCCACGGGCCAGGCGGGCAGCCAGGTGGGCCGAGTCCGCCTCCTTCTCGCAGGATCGGGCCCTCACGTTGCACGTGTACCCAGCCGGACAGCAGTGCTGGCGGTCCTCACAGCACACAGCCTGCGAGGGACAGGGTGGCCTTCACGTCTCTCCTCCCCCACCCACCTCCCAGCCCCCACGGAGGACTCGGTTCCCCTGTCCAGGGCAGACAGGTAGGCACTCACGTGAGGCAACTGGCAGCAGGCCCAGCCCCCACCCAGGCTGGGGCAGCAGGTCTGCCCCACGGGGCAGCTAGTGTGCTGGTCACAGCCCATGTCTCTGCGGTGAGACAGGGAGGCCTGGCGGGCAGGCATCTTCTCCAATCCAGTCACCGTCTTGCTTCCCTTCTGACACTGGCCCTCGGCCAAGCACGTGTAGCCACGGGGGCAGCAATGCTTGTGGTCTGAGCAGCAGACAGCCTGGGGGGGCGGGGGGCAGCATACGATGGCCTGGGAAGCTGCTTTGTAGGACAGAAGCTGAGCCCTTGCCTACCCCCGACGCCCTCTCCTGCTCACAACTCCTCCAGCTGGGAATGAACCTGACCAAGCCGGTGGGCCAGCTGCAGGCCGGGCAGAGGACTGAAGAGCAAAGCAACAGGAGTCTGACCACCTGCCCAGGCCAAGACACCGTCGTTGCCCTCCCCACCCCACCCCCGCCACCCTGCTCCTTACTGTCCCCCCTCCCACACACCTCTGGGGCAAGACAGCAGCCCCACTCCCCAGATGCCAGTCGACAGCAGGTACTGGAGGAGGGACAGCTGGTGATGTTATCACAGGGGACATCGTTCTCCACGGCCTGGGGGATTGGCAGGCGAAGGCGGGCTGGGGTCCGCACCACCCAGGGCATCTGGCGGGCCTTCTGTTCACAGGTGCCCTTCGCTGTGTCACATTTAAACCCAGCCGGGCAGCAGTGTACGTGGTCTGCACAGCACACAGCCTAGGGTGGGTGGACAGGGGACAGTGAGCACAGAGGCCTTGCTGGCCGCCGCTTCCTGCCCAGCCCACCCAGCACTCCTGTGTACCTGGGCGAAAGGGCAGCAGCCCCAGGCCCCCGACTGCAGGCGGCAGCAGGTGTAGCCATCTGGGCAGCTCACCTCCATGTCACATTTCACCTCCTGCACTGTGAGAAAGGCACAGGGGACAGGTCAGCAGTGGCGCAGGGGAGCCCTGAGAAATCCCACCCTTGGCCGGTTCCACAGCCAGAACCAATGCTAAGGATGGACAGTATACTGAGCACCACCACCCACCCCAAGCAGCGACACGAAGGCAATGATGAGTGTGGAAGAAAAGGGGTTGTACATGCCCTGTCCCCTCCATGCGGCCCTCAGTCCCCCACCCCTGCCAGTGTTCTTGGAACAATTCAGTGGAGAGTCCTGCACTCGGAGCCACTGCGATGGGGTCAGCAGCCTGCGTCTGGTACCTGCAGTTGCCGGCAGCTTGGTGAGGAGGTCCGTAGCGTTCTCCTTGGAGAGGCACTTACTCTGGACTAGGTCGCACACAGTGTCTTGGGGGCAACAGTGCAGGTGGTCCGAGCAACAGATGGCCTGCGGGGAGGAAGGGCGATGGGGGAGGGTCTCCGGAACTTCCAGTCTCCTCCGAGCTCAGGGAGCAGCCCAGTGACAGTGGACACTGCCCCAATCCCCCACTAGGGGGCGGCATGAGTCCTCAGCAGCCAGGCTCTAACAGGCCTGCCGGCCCACCCCACCCCAGGGAGTCCTTTGGAGGTAGGTGTCCCCGCCAGGGGGCTGTGGGCACGCAGCCCCTCACTCACATTAGGCATCGGGCAGCAGCCATACTTCCCATTGGGCAGCTGGCAGCAGGTAGAACCATCAGGACACTGGGACTGCCCATCTGGGCATAAGATCACTGCAAGGGGAGAGAGGTGGGCGGTGAGGAACTCTTCCCCAGGCTGGGCACCGCAAGAGGCCTTACCTCCTTTCCAAGCTGCACCCTAGACGCTCTCCCACCTCCTTACCTGCCCCATTACTCCTCTGTGCGGGGATCTTCTTTGCTAGGGGGTGGGAGCCTGTGGCTGTGAGGCAGCGGGCATGAGCCAGGTCGCAGGATGTCCCATGGGGACAGCAGTGCACCTTGTCTTCGCAGCAAGAAGCCTGCCGAGAGAAGCTTCCGACTCTGTCTTTGCCCCCTCCAGCCCGCTGCTCTGCCCCGACTGCTCCCCCCACCCCCTATCTTCCCAGACCGGTACCTGGGGCATGGGGCAGCACCCCCAGGAGCCATCTCGCATAGTGCAGCACGTGGAGGAGTTGGGGCATTCGAACCGGCTGTCAGGGCACTGGATGGCACCCAAGGGATTGGTATCTGTGGATAGGACGACCCAGGATTCCGTCAACCCAGTTAGCCAAGGCCATCGCCCCCATTACCTGCGGACACCATGGCCTGCAGGCCCAGATGACGGGGGCTGGTGGTCCCACACTAGGGCTCGGCGCTCTCCCAGGCACCCCTAACTCACTCTCCCCACCAGCCAGTCCTTGCCTCAGCAGTATGGCACAGGGCAGGGGCCTCCACCGACTAGGCTGCCCTTGAACCAGCCCAGCTTGGCCTCTCTCCACCCTCCCAAAGCTTGGCCTGGGGCCTGGAGTCTGGCATTCTCTCTTCTGCTCCTTCCTAGTCTCGCGCTCTTCCTCTGTCCCGAGCAAAGGGGTTGCTTAGTACAGATGCCACAGGAATGAGGGCAGGAACAAGGTCACCCAGCTGGCTGGATTCCTGGGCTGACCAGCCTCCACCAACGGCCCATCTGCCTACCCTCCACCTCCACCCCTACCACACCTGATCTCTGGAAGCAGGACCGCCCATCGGCGCTGCAGTGGTAGCCCCGAGGGCAGCAGTGGTGGCCATCAGCACATGACACGGCCTATGGGACACAGAGACACCCACGCTGGCTCAGCCTTTACCTGGGGTGAGTCGGGGGAGAGTCCAAACACAGACCTGAGCCCCTCCGTTGAGCCCATGGCACCCTCACCTCTGGGAACGGGCAGCAGCTGGAGGTCCCAGAGATGGTGAGGAGGCAGGAGTAGCCAGGAGAGCAGTGGGCATCTACCTGGCAGGGGCGCCCCAGCTGCCTGCTCAGCACTGTGGGCCACTGGCCCTGGAAAGTGAGAGATGACAAAATGAAGGACCCAAGCCCGGCCCCCTCCTCTGGCCACGCCGAGATTCCCCTTCGGGAGATCCCAGCCAGCTCTTGCCTGGGCTGCAGGGCGCTCACCGGAACAGGATGGCAGCAACTGTAGCTCGCTCCTCCTGGGTCCAGGCAGCAGGCCCCAGGGCAGAACTGACCATCTGGGCACTGTGTTCCAGCCACCAGCCCTGCCACTAAGGCCACCCAGCTCACCACGGTCCACATGGTCTGCCTGCAAAATACCAAGAGGCACTTGGCAATGAGCTGAAGCCCATGCAACCCTGGATTTGGGGGCCAGTCACTCCCCCAGGTGCAGGCCAGATACCACCCGAGCCTCCTGATCCAGGCAGGAAGAGAGATGTGGGGCCCGAGATTCAGTTTCCTGTGTGTGTATTCACTTGTGCACCCATGTGTGGACAGTGATGAGCACGGACACAAGGATGGGTGTCAGTCTGTGTCCCCAAAATGTGGCCAAATGCCTCAGTCTCTGCGGGTGAGTGTGTAAAGATGCAGGTGTGTGAAAGGAGAAT